TTCTCGGTGGTGGCCAGTGGCAGGCCAAGGGGCAGTGGGGACAAGGTGACACCCAGCAGGTCCCATCTCCACGGGAGGAAGAGCTGCTGCACTGGAACTTGACACTAGATTGTATGTTGGACTTTCCTACTGTTGTTACCTATCAGTTATCAGTTGACCATGGGGCTTATCACTGGGATTAATCATCTCGTTGTGCAACATTACTCTTGCTTGAATGGAAAATGAAGTAGATCTGACCAAAGAGCATTGGCATGACTCACCGAGGAGCCTGGAAGAATCCCTCTGTGGGCACGTTGAGGCAGCCTTGCCACTGCAACCTGCTGACCACGCAAGGTTTTCCCAATGTTAGACTGTCCTTACAGGGCACGGAGAGATAGGCTTTGTGGGAGCGGCGTCGGGCACCACTGAGGGCGTTATGCTGGGTTTCTCGGGCTCCTTTGGTGGCTGCTCCCTGCCCTGTTTTCCTTTGCACTCACTCGTGTTTGCTCAGATCCCCAGCCCCGGGACCCCACCAGCCCCTGGGTGGCTTTTAGCTGACTGGGGACTTGCATGCAACGTGGAGAGGCCCCTCTGGTTGAGAGAACGGAGATGCTAGGCTTCTCCAGCGAGATGTGGCTGACGCTGGACCTGAGATATGGCACAAATGGGGGTGGTGAGATGGCTTGGTTTTAACCGTTATGGGAATTTAAGGAGGTGTGAGCAAGACCTCAAGCTTCCTGAGACTTCTCTGCATGGTTGAAACTTGCGCCTAGAGGTGCTGTTGAGATATCGAGGTGTTCACTGGTCACGGGGCTTCTGCTGCAAAAGCTCTCTGGGGGGCTCAGAGAGTGTAGAATGAGAATGAACTGACTGACCTGGGCAGTGTGGGGCCCCTCTCCTCCGCTTCCACATGTCCCTACATGTTGTCCATGGTGCCCATCTCTAGGCACTCCAGGTTCCTTGGAAATTTCTGGATTTTCTGGCCAACCTGCGGAATTTTCTGGCCAAGCACCGCCCTCCTGCAGTGCTCTGGGCCCGTGTCTGCTCAAGGGTGCGCTGGTGTCCACGCAGCCAGGTGACCCCTGCTGACCACGGCAGCCAAGAGGGGGACGAGCAACCGGGGCCCCTGCGCCAAGGATGGGGCTTGTGCCCTTGGGACAGAGCCCTGTCCCTGGGGTCAGGGACACGTGTGTGGTGGCTCATGCTGTTTGCCCCGTGTCACGTTGAGCCGCGGAGAACGTGACGGCAGCAGCGCCAGGAACGGGACAGAGCGGCGGGGGTGTTGCAGGTGGGCCTGGCATGGAGGAGGGCGCCGAGGAGGGCAGCTGGGGGCAGCGAGGTCTCCGTGGACATCGTTTGGGGCGAGCGAGCGGCTTCGCGGCGCCGCTGTGCACGTGGGGAGCTGGGCACCCCGGCTTCCTGGCGCCGCGCTCCTCCACCCAGGACAATGTGCCCACGGAGCCCGTGCCACCGCTGCAGAACCCGCAGGGATGGCCGAGGCACTCGAGTAGGGCCCTGGTGGTGGTCCCACTGTGTGGGCAACTGAGTGCAGCGCGAGGGAGCAGGGCTGTGCACATCCCACGGACCCCGCCATCCCATCCATCCCATCCAGGATGCTGTGCGAGGGAGCAGGGCTTTGCAGATCCCACGGACCCCATCCATCCCATCCATCCCATCCCATCCATCCATCCCATCTATCCCATCCAGGATGCTGTGTGAGAGAGCGGGGCTTTGCAGATCCCAAAGATCCCATCCATCCCATCCACCCCAGCCCATCCAGGATGCTGTGCGAGGGAGCAGGGCTTTGCAGATCCCACGGACCCCATCCATCCCATCCATCCCATCCCATCCATCCATCCCATCTATCCCATCCAGGATGCTGTGTGAGAGAGCGGGGCTTTGCAGATCCCAAAGATCCCATCCATCCCATCCACCCCAGCCCATCCAGGATGCTGTGCGAGGGAGCAGGGCTTTGCAGATCCCACGGACCCCATCCATCCCATCCATCCCATCCCATCCATCCATCCCATCTATCCCATCCAGGATGCTGTGTGAGAGAGCAGGGCTTTGCAGATCCCACGGATCCCAAAGATCCCATCCATCCCATCCACCCCAGCCCATCCAGGATGCCGTGCGAGGGAGCAGGGCTTTGCAGATCCCATAGATCCCATCCATCCCATCCCATCCCTAACCTCCATGGGCACTGCGGGGTCCCCTCACTACAAAGCAGGTGGAAAGGAGTCCGTAGCCTCTCGCTTTGCGCATGTGCTTTATACAGGTGGTGGCTTGGGCTGTAGCACAGCGTGAGGGCTGGAATAACATTGGCATTAAAACTAACCCCGTCGTTAATGGCCGGGGAAAAGCCGGACAGCGCAAACCCACGCAGCGCTAGCCGAGGAAGCGGCGATACAGCCACACAACGTGCCCCCATGCCCGGGCGAGCCCCCGGCGGGCACAGTGCGCCATGCACACGATGACTCCAAGGAGGCAGCGCCCAACGCGCGCCACGAAGCTGCACGCTGCCCTCCACGCGCCGTCCCGCCCGCGCAGCGCCCGCTCCACTCGCTCCGCGAGCACGCTGCATTGCTCCTCCACATCCCCCTCGTGCCTGCTGCTGAGGGCGCTGGCCTCGTGGTAGAGCTCGTTGGTGTAGTGGGCGTTTCCGTTGGCCGTCAGCACGCTCTGGGCGAGCGCGAGCAGCTCCGCGACCTGCGCGGCGCGCTCTGCCCCGGCCGCCCGGTTGTTGAACGCGCAGTACCGGTTCCCGCAGCCCGCGATCAGTCTCTGGAGAGCCGCGTTTTCCGTGCCCGTCACGTACTCACGCAAGGACCCGTCCCCCAAGTCCTCCTTGCGTGTGAAGAGCACGATGGTGTGGCCCTTGGCCGCGTGTCCAAAGACGCTCCAGATGTCCTCGGCGGCAGCCTGGTCCTCCTCGGTGTAGCGGCCCAGCTGGGTCACCAGCAGCAGCACGTGCGGTCCCGGCGCCGAGAGCAGCAGGCAGCGGGCGAGCTCGCGGTGCCAGGCGCGGCCGGAGCGCGGCGCGCCGAAGACGGCCGGCGTGTCGGTGACCACGAGCCGCCTGCCGCGGCGCACGGCGCTCGCGCTCGCGCCCCGCCGCGTCACCGGCTGCCGCGCCGACAGCCGCGACTCGAACGCCGGCCGCCCCAGGATGGTGTTGCCCGTCGCGCTCCTCCCGCTCCCGCTCTTGCCGACGAGCAGCAGCCTCAGCTCCGTCTGCCCCGCTTCCTGGGCGTCCCACGCGCCTGCGTGGAGCAGAGGTTGTGAAGAGGCTTGAGATGGATAGCGCAGAGGCAGCAGGACCGGGGCTTCTGCTCCGGCCACTGCACAGCAGCTGGGGCAGGGGGGCGGGTGGGTGGCTGTCCCCGTGCTGGGGATGCTGTCACATTGTGGGGACAGGGGCGCAGAGGTGTCCCGCTGGAGGTGAGCGCCACGTGCAGCCCCGGGGCTGCTCATGCTTGGCAGTGCCCAAGCCCTGGCACAGGCTGCCCAGGGAGGCTGTGGAGTCTCCGTCTTTGGAGACCTTTAAACCCACCTGGACGCAGCCCTGTGCCCCGTGCTCTGGGTGACCCTGCGTGAGCAGGGGGTTGGACTGGATGACCGCTGAGGTCCCTTCCAACCCTGAGCATTCTGTGATTCTATGCCCACGTGCCTTGCAGCCGAGGGACGGGTCCTGCTCCTTGCCCTGCGCTGCCCCAGGCTGCACGGCGCTGCCCACGCTCCCTTCCTCTTGCCCTTTGTGCTGCGTTGAACCATAGAGCCCTTCTGGTGGGAAAAGACCTTTGGGATGGAGCCCAAGCATAAGCCCCTCAACGTCGTTCCTGTTAAACCGTGGCCCTGGGAGCCTCATCTCCCCGTTTCCTGAACACCGCCGGGGATGGTGGTTTCCCCTCCTCCCTGGGCAGCCTCTTTCAATACTTGCCTACTTTTCTGCATAGACTTTTTTCCTAATATCTAACCTGAACCTCCTCTAGGGCAACCTGAGGCCATTTCCTCTTGTCCTTGTTCCCCTTGCCCTCCTTTGCACGGAGGCTGGGAGCTGGAGAGCAAATCCAGATGTCACTGGACTTCTTCCTCAGCCAGTGTGGAAAGAGTGGCCTCCAAGGGTGGTTCAGCCCTGGGGGGCTCTACACAAACTCCCACGGATCAGAACCGTGTCCAGCAAACCCGGGGCCTCCGGCACGTCCTTTGGTCATGCGAGGAACCAGGCCCTCCAGATGCAAGGGGGTCATTGCAAAAGGCAGTAACGTGCACGCGTGTCCTTACCGGGGCCGGTGTCCTCATCCTCTCCATGTCTCATGTTTGCTGGACTGCCTGTGAGAAAAGGGTGGTACTGGAGATGCAAATTCCATAGGCAGAACAACACTCAATGCACACGCAAGGAATTCCCAGGAATGAAGCTTTCTCTTTGAACTGAATATTTTCCTCTGCATGGGTTACAGGGACGCTTATCAGGACATGCAGGACTGGCACGGCAGGGTTGCCCAAGGTGTTCTCAGCTTCCTGGAGGAGTGTGAAGAGCTGAGACAACTGAGGACAAATGCAGGGATGCAGGGACATACATGGAGATCTGTCTAGGGGTGGATGATGGGCTGGTGAGTAAGGATTAAAGGCAAGGTTAAAAGGGGTGATTCCGTTGGGGGTGTTTGCTGCAGGCCAAGTAGAAGAGGCCTTCTGCAGAAAGCTGCAAGGAGCCACATGACCACAGGCCCCGGTTCTCATGGTGGACTTCAACCACCTTGATATCTGCCAAAACCACAACACAGCTAGGCACCAAAGTCCTGGCGGTTCCTGCAAAATATTGATGATAACTTTCAGGTGCAGGTGATATAGAGAAGTCAACTAGATGAGCTACTCTGATGGACCTTGTTCTAGTGAAGAAGGGGACGCTGGCTGGAGATGTGAAGATGGGGGCGCAGCTTTGGCCTCAGTGAACATGACATGGTGGAGTTCAGGATCCTGAGAGGAGGAAGCAGGCAGAAGGTAAGATCACACGCCTGGACTTCACCAGAGCACAGTGGCCTCTTCAGGGACCTGCATGGAAGAATCCCATAGGATACAACCCGAGAAGGAAGAGAGGTCCAAGAGAGTGGGTTGATGCTCAAGGTTCACTTCCTCCAAGGTCAAGGCTGGTGCATGCCAATGAGCAAAGATTCGAGCAAAGGGGGCGGGAGACCTGTGTGAATGAGCAAGGAGCTCCTGGAATAGCTTAGACAGAAGAAGGAGGTGTGCACAAGATGGAAGCAGGGACGGGCCACTTGTGAGGAACAGAGCAACGTTGTCCAGGGCACAAGGATGGGACTAGGAGGCCAAGGCCCATTAGGAGTTGAACCTGGCAAGASATGTCAAGGGCAGCAAGAAGAAGAACTTCAAATACACCAGTAGCAAAAGGAAGACTGGCGAGGATGTGGGCCCATTGCTGAGCGGGGCAGGGGACAGAGGACACACAAGAGGAGGAGATACCCATTGCTGCCCTTGCTTCAGCCTCTGCTGCTCGGACGGGCCCTGGAGAACCCCTGGCCGGGGGATGAGGGCAGCAGTGGCCGCTGTCTACCCAAGGTTCAGCAAGGGCTTGGGCGCTGTCAAACACCCTGCCAGGAAGCCCAGGCTGGGGGTGCAGGACGGGGACGGGGCTGGGACCCGGCTCAAAGGCAGAGCCCAGCAGGGTGTGAGCAGTGGGACAGGGTGGCGCTGGAGACCTGGAGCTGGCGGGGAGCCCAGGGGCCCGTACGGGTCCAGTCYGGTCCCGCTGAGTGCCCAGGGCCGGGTGGGGGGAACAGAGCCCCCTCGGCGTGTTTGCTGAGGACCCCAAACAGGAGGAGCCGCCGAGGGCTGCGCGGGCACCGCAGGGACCTGCGCAGGGTGCAGGGCCGGGCACAGAGGAGCCCTGGGGGTTCAGCCCAGGCCAGGGCGGGCTCCTTCCTTGGAGGTGCTCRAGACCCTCCCGGCAGGGGCTGGGGCGGGGGGCTCAAGCTGCCCCTGCCGCCTGACCCACCAGGCAGCGGCTGTTTGGGGCAGCCCTGCTCGAGGCTCGTCGGGAACGTGGCTCTTTTGGGGGACCCTTTCCCCCCGGGCAGGGCCAGAGCGGCCGCGGGCAGCGCGGGGGGCTCAGCAGCAGCCGCGGCAACGGGCCGGGACGCAAAGAGAGGCGAAGGACGGGGCACGGCGGCGAGGAGCTCTGCGCGGGSCCGGCGAGGAGCTCTGCGYGSKGCCGCGGCTCCCTGCACGGACACGGCCCGGCCCTCCCCACCGCCACGGGAGCCCCCGCAGCTCCCGGGAGGCCACCGYGGGCCGTGCCCGTTTGCCGCCTGCTCCGGAGGCTCCGGGGGACCCACGGCGCCGTCTCGCCGCCTGCGCTCCCTGCGCGCCCGGAGCGGCTCGGACGTGCCGCGCTGGCCGCCCGCCCTGCCCCGTCCCAGCGCCCTTGCAGAGAAGGGGAGCGCGGGGTCACCTACCTGCGCCTGTGCTCCCCAMGGAGSGCCCCGCTCCCCGAGGCGCCCCGCAGCCCCGCGAGCCCCGCGGCCCGCCCGGAGCCGCCTCCCCGCAGGAGCCGCCGCAGCCGCCGCTCCGCTTTCGGTTTCCGCGCAGCGAGGGCAGTGGGCGGGAGGAGGGCGACCCGCCGTGAGCCAGCCCCTGCTCCAACCCTGCTCTAATTCCTGCTTTAACCCCTGCTCTAACCCCTGCACCAACCCCTGCTCTAACCCCTGCCCCAACCCCTGCTCCAGCCCCTGCTCCAACCCTGCTCTAATTCCTGCTTTAACCCCTGCTCTAACCCCTGCACCAACCCCTGCTCTAATCCCTGCTCCAGCCCCTGCTCCAAACCCTGCTCCAAACACTGCTCTAACCCCTTCACCAGCCCTGCCCCAAACTCGGCACCAAGCCCTGCCCCAATCCCTGCCCAAACCCTGCCCCAGCCCCTGCCCCTGCCCCAATCCCTGCCCAACCCCTGCTCCAGCCCCTGCTCCAAACCCTGCCCCAGCCCCAGCACCAGCCCCTGCACCAACCCCTGCCCCTGTCCTGCGCTCTGGAAGATGCTGCCCTGCATCACGAGCGTTTGCCCCTACTACCACGGACCCACCGTCGGGAGGAGAGGACCCCGGTGCAGAGTGGGCAAACAAGGGGGAAGATTCCCGACAGATTCCCCATGGGCTGACATTGCCAGCCAAGGGACTCTGCATTTGGGAAGATGGGGAGCTCTTTGCTCCAGGGCAGCCCCCTTGGGTATCACAGAACCCCGCTGACGTCACCCGGGGTTGTCCCTGCCCAGGGTTGTCCCTGCTCTTGGCTCTCTGCAAAATGCTCCAAGCTGGACAAGGATGCAGCCCCTGAACCTGAGCGGCAACATGAGCCCTGGGCTCACCGGCCACTGAGGAGGCTTTTCCAGCAAATGAGTGAGTTTCCATAAATGCATTCCATAAATTCCATAAATCCTTCTCCTGCCCATACAGCCCCCATCAAGACAGGGCTGCAGAGGTGAGGTTAATGCCAGGGGTTTGTGCACGGCTACGTCGGCAGCTTGCAGGGTCCACGGGCGGCAGCCACTCGGCCTGGGGCAGCAGGGACCCGCAGGGATCTCGTGGCTCCCAGGAGGCTCCTTGGAGAGGTCCCTGCTCAAGGAGAGATCCTGGCGTGCAGCCCCTGCCTTGTGAGGAGAGCTCAATGGGCTCCCCGGCTGTCCCTGTGTTTAGGGGAGAAGATGATGCACTTAGAGTCGCTCCTGCGTTTCAGAGAGTTTTGGCTGGTTCCTGCACCATTAGCCCTATCTGCGTCTCAGGCTGCAGCCATGGGGCCTGTTCTTGAGGGGTGATGTGTGAGTGGGGAGGAAATCAGGGAGGCAGCCCCCAGGAGCAGATAATGTCCCTGGTGGTTAACACCTCAACAGGGCTACCTGAAAAGTCAGGTTGGGCTGGGCACGGAGCACCCCCGTCACCCTGGCACGGAGCACCTCCATCACCATGGCACGGAGCACCCCTGTCACCCTGGCATGGAGCACCCCCATCACCGTGGGTATGGAGCACCCCCGGCACCCTGGCATGGAGCACCCCCATCACCGTGGGTATGGAGCACCCCCGTCACCCTGGCACGGAGCACCCCCGTCACCATGGGCACAGAGCACCCCCATCACCCTGGCATGGAGCACCCCCATCACCMTGGGTATGGAGCACCCCCGTCACCGTGGGCATGGAGCACCCCCGTCACCCTGGGCATGGAGCATCCCTGTCACCGTGGACATGGAGCACCCCCATCACCATGGGTATGGAGCACCCCCGTCAACCTGGCACGGAGCACCCCTGTCACCCTGGTGTCCCCTGGCCCCATTCCCAGACTCCTGTTTTCCCTCTAACACCGCCTGGGACATCCCGGCCATCTCCACCATCCCCGGCTATGCTGCATGTCCCCCTGGCTCCACAGTGTCCCCCCCAGTGGGAATGGTGCCAGGCAGCCCTGCAACCTCGTGCATCACGTTGCGCCTTGGTACGTGGTGGAGAACCAGGGCAGGGAACCCCGCAGCGCCAYGCGGTGACGGGCGGCCCCGCGAGGGAGTCTGCAGGGCAGGCACGGGCAGCTGGTGCCCGTCTGCCTCCTGCAGGCACAAGGGCCCCTTCCTTTCCCTGGGAAGCTCCTTCCCAAGGCGCTTGGCACCAAACTCCAGGCACATGGTGAGCCAGGGTCCCTCTCCCCGTGTCCTCGCCGCTTTGGGCATGTCCCGCTGATCCTGGTTCCCACTGAGCCCAGCCCCATTCCAGTCCCCCTCTTCACCCCTTCCCTTCCCCATCTTATCCCAGACCCTGTCCAGTCCCGGTTCCCGCTAATCCTGGTCCCCATCCAATCCCAGACCCTGTCTAGCTCCAGTTCCTGCTGATCCTGGTTCGCACTGATCCCAGACCTGTCCAGTCCCGGTTCCTGCTGATCCTGGTTCCCACTGATCCCAGACCTGTCCAGTCCCGGTTCCTGCTGATCCTGGTTCCCACTGATCCCAGCCCCACGCCAGTCCCCCTCTTCACCCATTCCCTTCCCCGTGTGATCCCACTCCCTGTCCACTCCTGCTCCCCACTGCCCCCTGCCCTCATCCGGTGCCGGTGCCGTCCCCACGATGCCGATGTCCCCGGGGGTCCCCGCCGCTCTCCCCGCGGGCCGGTCCCTGCGCCGAGGCTGCCAGAGCGGAGCAGCGACCCCCGGTGTCAGCGCAGGGAACGGCACCGGCACCGGCTCCGTGTGGCCCGGGGACGAGCAGCCACCTGGGGCTCGGGCCGTGGGAGCCCAGACCCGGACTGTGGTCCCAGGAGCACGAGGACTCAGTGACCCCAAGGCCTCTGGGGACCGGGACGCAGTGATGGAGACCCCACGGACGCAGCCCCCCACGGCACAGAGACCCCGGGGGTGCAAGGACCAGGGAGGAGGAGACCCCGGCATCAAGGAGCTCCACACTCCGGGTCACAGGGACCTCGGGGTGCCGGGAGCCCGGGCCGTGGGGCTGCACCGCACCCGGGGACGAGTCCCGTGTCCCGGCAGCCGAGGGGGCAGCAGCCTGGCGCAGGGAGCCCGTCCTGGCCTGGGGAGCCTGTCCCAGAACAGGGAGCCCATCCCGGACCAGGAAGCACATCCTGGCGCAAGGAGCCTGTCCTGGCGCAGGGAGCCCATCCTGGCCCGGGGAGCTCGTTCTGGCCCAGGGATCCCGTCCTGGAGCAGGGAGCCCGTCCTGGCTCGGGGAGCCCGTCCTGGAGCAGGGAGCCCGTCCATGGTCCGCAGAGCTCGTCCCAGCCTGGAGAGCCCAGCCTGACCTGGGGAGCCCATCCTGGCCCATAGAGCCCATCCTGGCCCAGGGAGCCCATCCTGGCACAGGGAGCCCGTCCTGGCCCGGGGAGCCCGTCCTGGCCTGGGGAGCCTGTCCCAGACCAGGGAGCCCATCCTGGCCCATAGAGCCCATCCTGGCCCAGGGAGCCCATCCTGGGACAGGGAGCCCGTCCTGGCCCGGAGAGCCCGTCCTGCCCGGCGCTATTTGCCGCTCAAATCCGGAGGCTCCGTGTCCCCTCCTAGTGACAGCTCCTGCCACCGGGAGCAGAGCCCGGTGCCACCCGCCCTGCCTGCAGCAGCGGGGGAGGCTCCTGGTGCATCTTGGTGGCGGCCTGGGACAAAACCGGTGTCCCCGGGCGAGCTGCACGAGGGACCCCAGCGGCTTCTCCTCTCCGAATCCCGCCGGGTGGCCGGCACCTCGAGCGGCGCTTCCACAACACGGCGCTTC